AAGTTTTGGGGCTCCCCAAACACCTCCCTCCCCGCCCCACCTCGGAAAATCTCGTACCCCACCTTAGGAACCCCCTGGGCACCTGGGACCCCCCACGAAATCGGGGAAACGGCGCTGTATTTTTTGCACCCGCCCGAGTCGCACGCAGTTTTGCCAGGGAAGACCCGAACCAGAGAATCGACGCCACGCCTGTGCATTCGTTGAGTGTGGGCAACCGGGAATAATGTGGATTAATTTTTTTTTGTTTGTTTGTTTGTTTCTTTTTTTTTTTTGTCAGCGTTAGGTTGATGGTTGGACTAGATGATCTTTAAGGTCCCTTCCAACCTAGACGACTCTGTGATTCCGTGACGCTCCGGCACAGCCCTGCGCTCTGTGGATCCGCGCTCGCTCTCCCCTGTAGGCGTGGCCAGGGCGGGCAGGAGGCGTGGCTACGGGCAGGCCGGGGGCGTGGCCGAGATGGGCCAGGAGGCGGGGCCACTGCCCGCCCGCAGCTCCGGCCGTTGGCTGCCGGGCGCGCGCCCCCTCCCGTGTCCCCTCTGAGGCCTCTCGGGTGGGCCGCGGTGACCGCCCTCAGCCCGCTTCCCTCCACCCGGGGACCACAACCACTCCCCGGCGGGCAGGGCTTCCCGCTCGCTGCCCTGGCCCTGCTCGCAGCCCGGGTGGCCACAGCCGCTGCCTCAGATTGGGATTATTTATTTTTCCCAAAAAAAACGGGGGTTTTCCCCAGTGCAGACCCAGAATCAGGTACTTTTGTGCTGCGGTGGCAGCTCCTGCTCAGTGTGTGCGGCCCTGCGGGGGCAGGGCCCCATTTGGAGGAGCCCGAACTGGGAGGCAAAAAGGGGGAGCTTCTGAAAGCCCTTTTATGCCTCCAGGAGAGGTTAGAAGGGAGAGCAAGTTTTTAACTCCTATTGATAGGCTTTCTTTGCAGTTCAGAACCATCTATAGCACAGGCATTTACACCTCTGTATCCATTTACAAATATATATACAGATTTAGGGAAAATATGTTATCTTTTTACACTTAAATAGAATGTCTGCTTAAGCTTAGAACTACTTAGACATTAACACTTATTATGTAGACTATCTACTTAAACTTTCTGCTAAGACATCTATTTTGACACTAAGATCTTTTTATAAATATTTTAAAATATATTTTTATATTCCAAGATCTTTTTTGTAATAAAGAATCACAGAATCATAGATAGATAGGGTACACACCCAAGTACAGGGGTTTATCGTACCTTTGGTTACAGACAGGCCCTGGGCTGTATTTTGGTGACCTGGTGGGCTGAGACCAGGAGAGCCCACGTTTCTCCCTGCCCACAGCACCAGCTTTCCCTTCGCTCCATTTTACTCTTCAGCTGGTTTGTCTCTTCCTGGTCTCTCCACCTTCAGCCACCACAGCTACTCCGAAAGGCGAGTCCCTGTCGGAGGGTTACCTTTTCACAAGCACTTACACCACGACGAGGCAAATCGGGAACAATCGCCACAGCCCAGCGCCGGAGACCACCGCCGGCCGCTCGCGCCGCTCCCAGCGCTGCGCGTGCGCCGGAACCAGGGCGTGAGGGCGGGGCCGGAGCGCGCGCCCGGCGTGGCCGGCGCCCGAAGACTACAACTCCCGGCATCCCCCGCGCCCGAGGACTACGGGTCCCGGCGTGCCCCGCGGGCAGACACAGCTCCCAGCATCCCCCGCGCCCGAGGACTACGACTCCCGGCGTGCCCCGCGGGTAGACACAGCTCCCAGCATCTCCCGCGCCAGAGGACTACGACTCCCGGCGTGCCCCGCGGGTCGATATGGCTGCCCGGAAGCGTTTCATCCTCCTGCCGGTCCGGTGCCGGGGTCTCTCCTGGGTCGCAGTCAGCTCGTCACAGCAGTGCCTGTAGGTCTTCGATAGCTCATCAGCTGCTGTGCCAGGCCAGGCTTGTCTCTTGCCGATGTCTCCATGTTACTTTGTCACGTCCGTGTCTCTATATTTTGTGTCTCTCTCCCCGCTTTTTCCCTTCGATTCCCGGCTGACAAGGTCCCTGATCAGGTAAGACTGCTGCAATAAGCATTCTCACTTTCTTGCATGCCGCATGCCTTCGTCAATTAGTGTGGCTGATCAGGTTTTGTGGTTGGGTTGGTGCCCTCGTATTTACTTGTCTATGTCTTCCTCTGTCTGCCCTTGACTGGATACCCATAAAGGAGAAACATTCTCCTTCCACACACCAACAGCAGCTTCATTTCAGCTGGGTCAGGATGTCCCCAAGAGCCTGATGTATCACCTGGGCCTTCTCCACAGCTGCAGCTGTCTGCAAGGCAGCAGTTTGGAAGCTCATCCTGCACGTGGTGTGTGGCAGGGGTGTCGACATGACTGCCCCATCCCAAGGCACGTGCCTGCTCGAGAGCCCAGGGCAAAGCTTTGGCAAATCCTGGCTGTTGTGACTCTGCACCTGCTGAGTAAAGGGTTGAGCTGGGGGAAGGGAGTGTCGGGCCACAGCCACCTTCGAGGTGAGCAAAGGAATTGGCACTGGTGGAGGGAAACCCAAAAGGCTTCTCTGAGCTCTGAGAGAACAACTTGGGCTAAGCCTTGACCAAGGACATCCCTGCAGAGGAAATATCTTCTTGATGAAGGACAAGGTGTTTGTGGGGAGCCCAGGGCTGTGGAGTCAGCAGCATCAACACCCAGGGGTTTGGGGGAGTGTCTGTGGTGGGTGCCTGTACTTTCTGTGAGCAGCTAAATCAGATCTAAAGAGAGGGCCCACAGCCATCAGCAGCTGAGGTTCTGCACTCCTCAGGGAGACTACATTGGATGTGGAGACATTTGGGATGTTGCTGGGCAGGCAGAGACCTTTGCCAGCGGTGGAGCCTAAGCAAAGTAGTGGCTGCTGAGCAAACCTCTCTCCATCTCTTCTGTCAGTAGGACAGAAGTGGCTGCAGAGGGAGAGACTCACTGCAGGCATCGGGCATCCCTGCACAGCATGTCTGCCGTCCTGCCTTGTTCAGCCTGATCTTCCCTCATTTACCAGCCCGTCAACACCAAGATCACACAGGGCCAGGGCTCTGTCTGGGGAGGAGAAAGGGGCAGGCAACAAGCTTGGCTGGTCTCTTACACACATCGTCTCTATGTCGCAAGAGATCTGTGAAAGAAGGTAGTGGAGTCCAGCCTCCTTAGAGGCATCTTTCTCTGCGGTGGGGAGACATAGCAGTTGCCCACTGGTCTCTGAGAGCAGGATATTATAATGAACATCAGGGACAGATCCCCTCCAACTCTGTAGGAGAGAGAGAGGAGGATCAGACAGCTAACTAAGGTCCCCAATGTTTTGGCAGCTACGCTCCTCACTGCTTCCTGTCTTGTCAGGAAGATTCCCAAGTGCCTTCTTCCACCCATCCCTGCACATCTCTACGCTCCTCCACCCAGGCATATCTCCTGATCAGGATGAGAGGAATCTGTTTAATACTCAGAGCTAGGGAGGAGAAATCTAAGCTGAAGGTCTAGATTTTGATTTGAAGGCTTTTTTTTTTTTTTTTTCCCCCTGTGTCCTGGGGATAGGTGTTAGGCAGGGACTGCAACAGGCCCATGTCCTTCTTACACTGGGGGCTCCAGACCTGGATGCAGCACTCCAGGTAGGGCCAATCGTGTTGCTCTTGTTAATAAAGGCAATTAGGGTAGTATTTGTTGTTTGAATATGTCTCTGTGAGATTTCGAAGTCTTAGCTCATTTTTTTAGCTGGAGTTATAAATAACACAGAGATATAATAGCTGTCAGAGCATAAGTTGGCTAAACTACCCCCAGTACTTATCTTAAAGTACAATGATAAATTGTTTTATGGATGATCCTTCTTTTTTTTTTTTTTTTTTCCCACTGTGTCCTGGGGATAGGTGTTAGGCAGGGTTCGTAAATGATTTTGGAGGGTGAGACATCTCCATGCTGGGTCCTTCTACCACTGGTGGCTTGAGGAAGGGGACATGGGTAAAAGGATTTCAAATGCCCCCAACCACAGAGAAAGTCCATGCAAGTCTATGTCAAACACATCCCAAATGATAACTTCAATACTTTACACCCTAACCACATTCCCTCATCCTAAACCCCTTGCTCCAAGCCCTCACCCTTACACAGAGTTGTGGAGTTCCCATCCTTGGAGATATTTGAAAACTCTGAATCCAAGACATAGTTCTACATTCTGTCCTCCTCCTAATTCTTCAGTTCTATCAAAGCGAACAGTTCCAATATATGTTTATTGTACATTTTTTTAATCTTGCCTGTACAAAGAAAGCCGAGTAGGTCAGAAAACAATTATCTCCCCTTTACATAAACAAATTTACAGATTTCCTCTCCCCTTCCCCTCGCTTCTGACAAAGGCACATATACTGTCAGATTGGTCTCAAAGAACACGCTGGCTGCAAAGCCAAAAAACAGTGAAATCATCCAGTAACAGAAGAACAGAAACATGAAGAACAAACCACACATCTGCAACTTAGGGTCACAGTAGCATGATGTGGCTTTTTTGTCTATTACAAACCCCATAACTGCATCTTAACTGGGAAACCTTCCAGCATTATCAGCAATGACAGCAAAGGAAGAACCAGTTTTCTGTAATGTCTATTTAAAAAAATATAAACTCCACTTACAAATATTCAGGATTCTTGTTGAGAATGTGCTGTGTACCTGCCCTTCTCCTTTAGGAACATCAAGAGGATTCTGTACAGTGTATATAGCAGCTTGCTGCAACACTGCTGGCAGCTACAATTTCTTGGTGATTTAATACATCTGCTGCATTTAGAAAAATTCTTTACTTTCCTAAGAACTGAAAACAGGTTTTTATCTGTACGTCAGATGATAATAAAAATGCAGTTCTACTCGTAACTGACTCACGAAACTGCAGGAAACCGAGGACTTGCAACAGGTACAGGATGAATTCAACCTCTGCCTTCCTCAGTCCAGAGGGACAGCAGAGTCCAACAGCAGACACTCATGAAAATCCTCTGGAGAACCAAGCCCTGTTTGCCACCAGCCAGGTTGTGGTTCCTCTCAGAAGCCCTAAGACTGCAGACATCCACATGCCAGTGGGACCTGGGGTATGAGCCCACCTGGCAAATGCTGCTGCCTGCTCTAAACACGGTCACTTGCTCTCAAGCTCTGGTGACAATGCTGAATAAATCTCCCTTGACTTAAATGGCAGCCTAGACTCTTTGTTCAGTAAACACATGTACATCACAGAAGCTTAAATATAAGCAAGATTTAGTCCACTCTAAAGTCTTCTTGTTACAGGTCTGCAAGTCCTTCTTCTGCACAGGAAAAAAACACCCAACTACAGCATAAGCACTCCGAATTATTCTTACCTTCTGCTTCTTTCCCCAGATTCAATGGAGCTTCTGTTTGTGACCTTACCTAATGCCATGGTTTGGGCTGCAAACCAGGACACCCAACATTAGTGAACAAGACACATTTGCTCTGTTTCTGTCCATGCTACGTCACTCTCCCCATTGCGTACAAAGACACAGAGTCACTTGTGGCAGCACTGACCTGGAGCATAACTCCAGTGTTCACATGGACAGCAGAATTCATGAGTCACCTTGCTGAGTTGTTTCTTTTGCTTCTTAGGTTTTCTCCCCAAGAATAAACAGAAAGACCCATAAAGGATGTGTGAAGCAGTGATATCAGGATCATGCCCACATACTTCCTTTATTCAGTTCTATGAGAGGAGTGTGGTAGGACAATGAGCGTAATAAACATTTGATCTCTCAGGTAATTCTTCTGCTTTGGGAAACCGAGTAGCATATTTTCTCTGGTTACAAAAGCTGCTCCTAAATTGTTGGCTTGTTTGGTAGAGTTCTGTGATCACAGAGAACTGCAAAAAGCAGCATTACTGACAGTGCAGTTGGGAACAGATTTGTCACTATCATCAGCCTTAAAGACTGATTTTTTTCTTTCAGCTCTTGAGATCTTACGAATAAAGCTACTTCTGTAGAGACCAAATCCAAGAGCATCTGGTAGGGACAAACATGCTGGTGTTCATGATCTAATACCATAACAAGAACAGTGAAAGTTACATTCCTTTGGTAGTTCTCTACATTGGTAATGGTCTGAAATTCTTCTTCTGTGCACGTCAGAAATGCTCCACACTCCATCATCCAGTTCTGTTACTGCTCTTCACAAACTTAGTGTTACTTTTAGTCCATTGCAAAGTAACAATCTGGGACACAGAATAAGGAGGAAATTTGTGCCCTGAAACTTGACCTTTAAATTTTAAGAAGTTAAATACTGCCACCCAGATCCAGTTTTTCTGAACCTACCCTGTATGTATGTGGCTGAGCTTCAATATTTGTACAGGAACATGCACGCAGATACACAAATATAGCAGTGTCTTTCTGTTCCTACTTCCATACATGTGTTCATGGAAATTTTGTGTGTTTTAAAAATGCTGTCTCTCCTTTCTGGTGTGTGTACACCCTTCTGTCTATTGGCACAGCGTTTTCTCCCAGCTTGATTTATACGCTATGTCGACGGTTGTTGATCATGGCCACAATGTGTGTCAGGTCCAAACTTTTCATCATAACCTCCATGAACTCCTCGTCTTTCCTCGCTCCCTCCACAAATTCATCCAGAGAAAGTTCACCTGTGTCAGACACAGACAGAAGGCATCAGAATCGCGCCAATCCACATCTGAGAAGGAAGAGTGCAGTAATCTAACTTTAGAGACCACTTACTATACATGCACTGTTCTATAGCACCAAGAGGCATCAGAGAGTCTTTTTAAGCTTATATGAAACTTCCATGATATCCAGGCAACTCCAGCTTCCTTTTTTTTCCCACACAAGGGAAAGGGTACATAAGAAAGAATAGAGGAAGTGCACAGCTAAGGAGTGGGATCATAGCTTCCTATAAATAAAGCTAGATTAACCATCTCCTTTTTGGCCTAACCTGTCATAGTCTTAACCTGCTCCACTCTGGTTGTTTAAAAGAAGTGACAGAAAGAAGCTGTGACAGCCAGCTAGGCCAAATAGCCCTTGTGCAGGGAACCAGCTCAGCAGACTTCTTCTGGAACAATAAAAGAGCCCGTCAGAAGGTAATGAGCACATGAAGTAGCAAGGAAAGAAAAATCTCTCAGGGACACACAGCGACTCCAGAGCCATTGACCAGGTTTTGACTGACTGGTCCATGGCACTCCGTGTGCTGGCTGTACTGCCTGTTACAGACCCAGCGAAGAAACTCTGAATTTCAAGATTAAATTCCAGTTTTTCCTTTCCCTGCTGCTGAAATAGTTAGGAGCAGCTGGGGCCATCTGTTAGTATCTCCACTTCTAACTCTGACATAAGCTACACACCAACATACAAAAAGGAAAAAAAAAAAAGCAAACCACTCCAAAACCCCGCAACCAAACTCATGTGGACAGAACACAGCTGAGACACAGCGCCAGGGGAGGTTCAGGCTGGATATTAGGAAAAATTTTTTCACTGAAAGGGTTATCAGGCATTGGAATGGGCTGCCCAGGGAGGTGGTTGAGGCCCCATCCCTGGAGGTGTTCAAAAGACGGGCTGATGTGGTGCTGGGAGGTCTGGTTTAGTGATGATGTTCCTTGTTTGTTGTGTGGGTGTCTATTTTTGTCAGTTAGGTTGATGGTTGGACAAGATGATATTTAAGGTCCCTTCCAACCTAGACGATTCTATGATTCCATGATTCTATGAGACTTAGTACAGGGAACAAATCCTGTCATACTGATTATGCAGGGAGAAAAAAGCCTCAGTAAAAGTCATGGAGAATGCATTACTGGGTGAGAATTCATGTAACAAGCAAATATAAAATAAAGAGGCATAAAGTTCAATCAAGAAAGGAAGGCATGGGTGTCTCTGTAGCACAGAGACCGTCTGACTTGGATGACAAAGACAGGAATCTTACCATCTCCATTCACATCAATTTTGTCGAAGACCCGGTTGGTGAACTCCTCTGCACTAGTTTCATGGTCACCACCATTAATAGCTCGAATAGCCTAAAAGAAAAGAGCAAGAATAGGAAGCTGCCTGATGGCTCCCAAAATGATAGACTAATCCCACTGCAGTCTGTCAGCCGAGGTTCAGAAGACGACAGTCACGCCTGTACTATCCCCACACAAATGAATCAGCATCACAGGAAAATGCTGCAGAAATCACCAGGCTTTACAGCAGGCACTGAAGGGTGCAAATGGAGCGTGGTTCTGGAGCATGGAATGAGTAATTAAACCCAGAGGATCAACCTAAATCTGCATGGGCAGAGGCTAAATGCTGCAGAAATGGCAGAATCACGATCCACAAAACTGATCCACTTTATACTACCCTGTGGTCCACCAAGCCCAATGAACACCATCAAACACCCTCTGCACATGACATTATGAAATTCCTTTGTTATATGCCACGGTCATTTATTTCTGTTCTTGCTTTCCCAATCTCCATTTATATACTGCTTCCTGTGTGTCCCACTTCTCCCTAAAACTCACTGGAAATTCATTTTCAGCTTGAGAAAGCTTAAGCATTATTCACTACTGTTTACCACAATTCATCTTATTCATAACTATATAGTGCAGGGTTCTCTTTTTTTCATGCCTAATTGTTTCCTTTGTTTAAGGATGTCCATGAAATACATGATTCCAGCGTCTTCTAAGACTATTCATTTTCTAGTTTTTACCTCCTGTACCTTCTGATATTTGGTAAGTTTATTCATTCTTTTTCAAATGCCATTTTACTAAAACTAAATATCACCTCAGGCTGCAAAAAAGACACTGAACTACACCAACAAAATTCCAAGGGCAGTAAATTTGTTGCCACCAATTATCACCCACAGGGTTTGTTTCTCAAGAGCTCTGTGTTAATTCATATCCAGGTGAGAATGTATTATTAACATCTTATTAGTGGTTTTATTTGTGGACAGCTCAGGCTTCAAATTTTTATCAAATAAATTCTCTGACCTTTCTTATTCAGAAATGTAAATTATTTAGGGTCAATTAATCTTTTCTGCATCTTTCTAGTTTCCCCAGTCTCTAGAGAATGATCTGAACTTCCAGCATGATTCATTCTGAGATATTCATAAGGTTGTGTTTATGCCTGTAATTCCAATACCTCCCACAATAGCTATCTGCATACAATCTTTTCCACTGACAGTCATTCTTCAAACTACTTGCCAGTCAGAAATGTTTCATTACATTGACATTTGGGAGCTGGTTCTAAAAAACAAGCTGGGAGTAACTATCCAACTGCTATTTGCGTGGGGAAAAGGACACACGAAGGACACATTTCAGAGACTGCAACTGACAGTCACGGAGTCTGAAATCTTGAAAAGTGCAATTTAGGTCTGACACAGCTAAAACAATTTTTTATGCTGTAACATATGCTGTTCTGGTAAAGAAGAGTCTGTCTGTCTGCTCACTGGACTATGAGATTGAGGGGAATTCTGCTAAAAGAAGGAATGATGCTAAAGAAGGCTGGGGAGAGTCTGTTTACAAAGGCCTGCAGCGACAGGACGAGGGGCAATGGCATTAACCTGGAGAAGAGCAATTTTAGATTGGATATTAGGAACATGGTCTTTACTATGAAGGTGGTGGAACACTGGAACAGGTTGCCCAGGGAGGTGGTTGAGGCCCCATCCCTGGAGATATTCAAGGAGAGGCTCGACGAGGCCCTGGGCAACCTGGTCTAGTTGGGGGTGTCCCTGCTGACTGCGGGGGGGTCGGACTAGCTGGCCTTTGGAGGTCCCTTCCGGCCTGGACCATTCTATGATTCTATGATCCATGATCAGTCATAGGGGGAGTAGTCTGACTTGTGTGGTGGCATTTGTCTTTAAGGAAAGAGGAAAGCACACAGACCCCTGGAGACTCACCTTAATGATGTTGAGCAATTCATGTCGATCAATGCAGCCGTTGCCATCCACATCATAGAGCTTGAAATACCACCGCAATTTCTGCTCCATCTTCCCACGGAGAACGAGGCTGAGGGCAGCCACGTATTCCATGAAGTCAATATATCCATCCTGTGGGAAAACAGAACTCAAATTATGACAGGAACAGAGGGAGTTACAGCTCTGGAATTGTTTTACCTTGTTGCTCTTTAGATTCACAGCTACCAGAGAAAGGAAAAAAATGGCAGAGGGACTTGGACTGAGGGAAAAGCTTTAGTATGTGTACATACACACACGCTCCACAGAAAAAAAAGTGACTGAAGATATTTTTTAAAATACATAGAACATGATTTGATAGCTGGAAAAATGGTTCTGTTTTTAGGTTTTTAAACATTCCATTTCCTAAATCTACAAAGAAACGCAAAAAGCAACTCTACAAGAAAAATGCCAGACAGGAAAGGCTCATAATCCCTGGACTTAACACTGAATACAATTTGAAGCGGTTAAAAAGAAACAACAAATAAAGTGCTCGTCTCTGTCAAAGATTCAGAATAACTACTTGAACAAATTACAGAGAAAAAAAAAGGAAACTTTCATTTATTAAGGTATTTAAACAAAGAATCGAATGCCTTTCTGGAATGGATGTAAATAACTATGTGTAAAAGGTGAAGGCAGGTGGACTTGCAGAGCGCTGCTGTTTTACAGCAAGGATCACATTTTAAAACATTCATTCAGAATCATTGTAGTACTCTCCTTGTATGAGTTTTTCATAACTTCATTTTTTCACAGAAAACAGAACAACCAGCTCTAAAGGTGGGAAGGAGAGCATGACCGCAATTCAGAAAATAACTGTTGAAAATCTATCCACTGTGTCCATAGTAGAGTTGTCTGCATTATTACAGGGTGGCTCTTCCTCTGGGTGCTCTTGTTCCTTGCCCTTGTTAATAAAAGGAGCTTATATTAAGTGGCTAACTACTAACAGGCTAAAATTAACTGATGCAGGTTCATCTCCACTAGTTGCCACGCTCTTACTTCATTCCCCTTGAGATCACTTTATTTAGAAGATTGCTTTTTATTTTCGTATGACCAAATTTGAACTTGAGAGTCTTCTTAAAACATTGCTTGCCGCATAACATGGACCTCACAGGACATCTTGGGAATGTGTAATGTCCTCAAACAAATTTAAAAGCCCTTAAACATCCCAGTAAATGGCAGAGGTAAAAGACTTGTGCAAGAGCTGTAAATGTGTCAGTTTAGTTTATAAAACTCCTTCTTATCACTATCATCATTCTGGACACAGAGAACTTCAGGATGAGAAGGGCTCATTTCCAGTCATTGCATTCACCATGAGACTTCAGCTACCTAATGGACCCTGACTGCTCCTCTTTCATCTTGAAGAATTTTGTAATATTCCTTAGCATTCCTTAGCTCCTTACGCCTTCTCACATGTTGTCCCTCAGCTTTTCCCTGTGATTTCCTGCTTGTTTCACACATCTCTGTGAGTAGTTCCTCCTCAACTCACAGACATCTGCTCCAGCCGTTTCCGAACCTTGGAGCAGAGCACAAAGCTGAATTTTTCCCCAGGCTGCCATAAACCCAGATTTCTCTGTCATTGAGACTACAGGCCTGCAAGCATAGGCTTAAGGATATATGGATTTAAAAAAAAAAAAAATGGCGAAAGTGAGGGGCATTGTGTGCTTAAAGGAATTGTGGGGGCTACTGTTTCCTACCTTAGAGACAGCCAGTGGTCGCCTGTCCCAGTGAGGAATACCACCTACCTCCTAGCTCTGCCAAATGCTATACTCTGTCCTGGTTTCTGTGGGGATAGAGTGAATTTTCTTTCTGGTTGTTGCTAATTGATGTTTATACTATTCAAAAACTTTTTTCAGCTTCCCATAGAAACTGAGAAGGAGCATACCCAGAACGATGGAATGACCAGCGAAATATTCTGTACCATAGATGTCAGGTATATAAATGGGGGGTGGGCAGGGAGCAGGAATTGGGGATCACTGCTCGGGACGAGCTGGACAACCAATTACTGGGTGGTGAGAGTTACTTGTGGTGTACTACTTTATCTTGTATACTACTTTACCATCATTATTGTTATTTTCCTTTTTCTGTTATTGTCCTATTAAACTATCTTTACCTCAACCTGTGATGTTTTTTACCCTTTCCTTTCCCCTCCTTTTGTCTCTCTTCTACCCACCCTTCTGGAGGGAAGGGGGAAAACTGCATGGTCCTGGCTGCCGGCTGGGGTAGAACCACAACTATCTCCTGGTGCTGAGGAGAGCCACATAGATTGTCTGCCCATGCAGTACCAACTTCAGCTGCCAAATACCTGGAAATTACTTCCTCTGTAAGTGTGATAATGATTTCTATTGTGTTTGATTCCTGTATTCTCTACTATCTAATACAGATATATTTTAAAATAAAAAGAACATAAAAGAATAAGAATAATAATGAAATGCCTTTCATTAGTATTTTGCTAGTAAAACAAGGCCAAGTCAATTAATACACAATAAGGAATTCTCAAAATTCAAACACAAACTTTCACAAGGTAGGTAGACACCTAACGCTTATGTTACCTGTGTCATTACCCACGCACATTGATTTGTTCCTTGTGTTTAGCTACTTTAAGTTACTGTCCCTCAGCAGCTTTCTACACCATCGCCTGTAAGAGAAAACCAAGGCCTCTGAAAGTGCAGGAGCTGGTTTGCTGTTAAGCAGTATGAGGCAGTTCATTTTCTTGACAGAGAACTTACCTTGTTCATGTCGAACGTGCGGAACATCTGTTCGATGTACTCATTGGCCTCTGGATCCAGCCCTCGAAGCCCAAAGAACTGTTTAAATTCATGCTCCGTCAACTGCCCAGAAGGACACTCTGTCATGAACTTTTTGTACCAGTGGTGGATCTCAACAGCCTGCAGATCATCCACCGTTGAGCTGCTGTTGCTCCCCATGTGTATGTCTGGTCAGAAGAAGGGTGCTACAGAAATGATCCTGTTCCTGTTGCTCTCACCGCACTGCCCGTCTGCTCCTGTCCACGTTTGACATTCCTGTCAGTTAAGCGAGGGCTCTAACTTTCCACAAGCCAATTATAAATGTTAATCTGCTTAGAAGCTGATTTACAACCCCAAAAGTTTCAATGATACAAACAGTCTTCTTAGAGTGGACAAGAGGTACAAGATAATCTAGCAAATCACTGCTATTTCAGGAGCCAAATCAGAAAGGGTGAGAAGATTAATCAGACACTGGCATCAGGAGCTATACTGATTTGGTAGATTCCCCTATTTTTAACTTTGATATAATTATACATGAAGATAAGAGGGAAAGGCTACAAGACGTGGGATTTGAGGTGAAGTAAAGATCTGCTTCTCTAACTGGATTTGAGAGTCTGTTTTCTCAAATAGAAATGTTGGATCACTCAGTGTCCAGGACCAGAAAGCATAACAAAAGTAGCCCATCATCAGTGTTGGGCTGTGTGGGAAAAAGGTCATTTCCACGTACACAAAGGGGCACAGAGGAACAAAGGCGGGGGGGGGCACCCAAGTAATCCCCTGACCTGGCTCATTCCAGAACCACCACACAAGTGCAATCAACCCATAAAAGGTTCATCTGCACAAAAGGGAAGGAGCAAAAAAAGAGAGCCACAGCCTGGGGAACCCAAATAACCCAGTAAGAGAAATGAACCCCTGTGCCAACTCCTTCTAAGGCTGTCATAGGGGAGCCGTCAGCCCCATGGGCCTGGAGGTGACACCCAGCACAGCAAGTCAACGGGAGAGGTTGTCAGAGCACCTGACAGTGGGGTTATTGCCCGAGGGTACAGAAAACATTGTGGGGTGCAGTGAAGGACCACCTGGGGACTGCAGAAGGGTTATAATGGGATGTTTAGGGGAAGAACCGAAGATGGGAAAGGGATGGGTCTAGATGGTTTGGGGATGAACAAGCACAGGAAACTGGAGGGAAAGGGGCTGGTTGCGTGTAAAATGGTTGCAGGTCAATATGAGGGTCCAGCCATGCCCTGTGCCTGATCAGCACAGTCTTTCCTGTCTTCTAACATTTCTAACTCTTTTTCTGGCTGTGCAGCTCTGTTCTGTGTGCCGGTGTGTGTACGGGGATTTAGGTGCCCACAGCTGAAGTGGGGACCACAGGTCACAGGAGCCTGCATGTATTTGGTGCCAGCAACTGGAGTCAGGGAGGATCTAATGCCAGCAGTGGGTGTCAAACCATGGGTCACCAGTTCCCACCTGTCTTGAGTGGCAGCGACTGAAGCGAGTGAGAGTACGTACATCAGTGTATGGTCACTGGTGAATATCAAACCAGACCAGCCAGCAAACAGGTTAAGTGGTTTGGGATCCAGGTGCATATGTCTCTGATAGAGAGACAGCTGGAGGAGCTAGCTAAGGGGAAGACCCATCAGACCAACTGCTGGAGACACTGTAAGGTGTCGGGCTGAGGGAGACCCACTTGTCTGTGCGTGTTCTCTGTGCAGGAGACAGACAGCTGGAGAAAGCAGGAATCCTGAGAGCCTCAGCACAGTTACTGGAGGGAAGCATCGTGTATTTGTTAAAACACAGTAACAGCTTTCTTTTATAGTGTAATTCACCACCAAAAAAAAAAATCCAAATCCATCAACATTTTATAATAAAACAAAGAGAAGTAATTTTAGATTCTGAAATGATGAACAGTGCTAAACAGTCCATGTACTTACCTTTGTGGCCAGCATCATATAACAATTTAAGTCGTACCACCTCAAATTCACTTTCTCAAGAGCATACTAAAATCAATGCAACAAGACACAAATGTTTCAGCTACTTACACTGAAGCCACAGATAAACATTAAGACCACTAAAAAATTGTTTGTGTTACTGAAATGTAGTGAGATACTAGTGTAACTGAGCCTCGAAAATTATCAGCATTAATCCATTTAAGGACAGTATGTAAAGGAGATGGAGGATTTCTATCTTTGTTAAACACCATTACTAAACATTCGTAAACTAAGAACTCAGTGTTATGTTCAAAATCTTGTTTATGGACAAAGAGGAAGTAAACCTTACATATAGAATCATAGACCACAGAATGGTTTGGGTGGGAAAGGACCATTAAAGCCCCCCCAGTGCCACCCCCTGCCCTGGGCAGGGACACCTCCCACCACACCACGTTGCTCCAAGCCCCCTCCAACCTGCCCTTGAACCTCTCCAGGGATGGGGCAGCCACAGCTTCTCTGGCCAACCTGGGCCAGGTTCTCCCCACCCTCCCACCAAACAAGTTCTTCCCCACAGCTCAGCTCCATCTCCCCTCTTTCAGGGTCAAACCCTTCCCCCTCCTCCTAGGGCTCCCCTCCCTCATCCAGAGTCCCTCCCCAGCTTTCCTGGAGCTCCTTCATGGACTGGAAGGGGCTCTAAGCTCTCCCTAGAGCCTTCTCTTCTCCAGGCTGAACCCCCCCCAATTCTCTCAGACTGTCCTCACAGCAGAGGGGCTCTACATACATATTGTAAAATCAAGAATTTATTGTTAGTATAATAGAAATTTTAACAGTCTAGTTCAAGAGTCATCATTAGTTTAGATCTAATTACAGAAAAGCAAAGAAAAATAATGTAGGTTGAGTGCTTATAAAGGGGAAAAAAGTTGCACTAATAGCAATAATACATTTAAAATTGCGACACACACACTTAGTTTATATGCCTTTTCTGGTGTTACACGCACCTGACTGCTGCTCCTCTGGATATTCTGATGTTCACTCCGATGTTTGTGGTGGGGGTTGTCATGGCAAGTGGTCAGCATCTAGACTCCTTCACTGGGAGGAATGTGATGTTAATGGTTTCATCCTCTCTTTTTTTTTTCTTGTTGTGTTTTTGGTTTGGGTTGTTTTGTGTTTTTTTCTCCTTCCTTCTCTTTCCTTCCACTTAGGCTCATGTATTGTCAGAGTTATGTTGATGGTTGGACTAAATGATCTTAAAGGTCCCTTCCAACCTAGACAATTCTGATTCTATATATTACTAACATAAATTTACACCTTTTCCTTTTTACATTTATATTTGCATTTACTCTACATCATTGTGTTAGAGCAGCAAATATCTCATTTTACCCAGAATAACTGCTTGCTAATATTACCTATATAAAACTATGTTTGTACCACACAAGGATAAATAAGAAAGATAAATTAGCCATAGACACCCTATAATTAGAGAAATGGCTCTCAGAGCTAAACCAAGTGAAACAACGCTGCAGGCAGGACATGATAAATTCAGAGCAGCCTCAGCCCTGAGGCCTTGCAAACTCAGTGCAGAACCTATGCAAATAGCCTACAACAGGACTACAATTGTCCCATCAGCAGCAGGAACAGGAGTGCATTTGAATGTAGGTGCTAACACATGATGGAGACAGCTGGGAGGTGAGGGCAATTGCGCTGCTCAGACTTCACCAAGTCTTCAGGAACTTCATGAAGTTCAAAAAAGCCAAGTGGAAGGTCCTACAGCTGAGCTGGGGCAACGCCCAGTATCAACAGACCAGGAGGTGAATGGACTGAGGGGAAGGCTGAGGAGAATGACCCAGAGATACTGGTAAATGAACTGGCCATGAGCTGGCAACGTGGGCTGGCAGCCCAGAAAGCCCCCACACCCTGGGCTGCTTCCCCAGCAGTGTGGCCAGCAGTGCAAGGAGGGGGATTCTGCCCCTCTGCTCTGCTCTGGGGAGACCCCCCCCAGTGCTGCCTCCAGCTCTGAGGACACCAACAGCAGAAGGACATGGAGCCGTTGGAGCGGGGCCAGAGGAGCCCACAGAGATGCTGGGAGGGCTGGAGCCCCTCTGCTGGGAGGGGGGGCTGAGAGAGCTGGGGGGATTAGCCCAGAAAAGGCTCCAGGGACGCCTTATTGCAGCCTTTCAACCAATAAAGGGGCCTAAGAGGAAAGATGGAGAAAGACTCTTCACCGAGGCCTGCAGTGACACAACGAGGGGTGACAGTCTGAAACTGAAATCGGGCAGGTCTGGACTGGGCACCCCCGCAGGTGTTCAAGGCCAGACCGGACGGGGCTCTGAGCAGCCTCACCTAGCGGGATCTGTCCCTGCCCGTGGCGGGGGCTTGGACTCGTTGGCCCTCAGAGGTGCCTTCATCCCAAGCACCCTGTGACCCCGCAGCGCTCCCGCCCCTGCCGAGCGGTGTGTCACACCGGACACACGCCGCTGCTCTCCGCCTCACCGCAGCCCCACCGACGCCTCAGAGAGCCCCCGCTGATTGGTCCTTTCCTTGTTATGGGGCGGGTCCCCATGACCTACGCGGGCCCACCCTCCCACCAAACAAGTTCTTCCCCACAGCTCAGCTCCATCTCCCCTCTTTCAGGGTCAAACCCTTCCCCCTCCTCCTAGGGCTCCCCTCCCTCATCCAGAGTCCCTCCCCAGCTTTCCTGGAGCTCCTTCATGGACTGGAAGGGGCTCTAAGCTCTCCCTAGAGCCTTCTCTTCTCCAGGCTGAACCCCCCCCAATTCTCTCAGACTGTCCTCACAGCAGAGGGGCTCTACATACATATTGTAAAATCAAGAATTTATTGTTAGTATAATAGAAATTTTAACAGTCTAGTTCAAGAGTCATCATTAGTTTAGATCTAATTACAGAAAAGCAAAGAAAAATAATGTAGGTTGAGTGCTTATAAAGGGGAAAAAAGTTGCACTAATAGCAATAATACATTTAAAATTGCGACACACACACTTAGTTTATATGCCTTTTCTGGTGTTACACGCACCTGACTGCTGCTCCTCTGGATATTCTGATGTTCACTCCGATGTTTGTGGTGGGGGTTGTCATGGCAAGTGGTCAGCATCTAGACTCCTTCACTGGGAGGAATGTGATGTTAATGGTTTCATCCTCTCTTTTTTTTTTCTTGTTGTGTTTTTGGTTTGGGTTGTTTTGTGTTTTTTTCTCCTTCCTTCTCTTTCCTTCCACTTAGGCTCATGTATTGTCAGAG